GTTGGGAGAGGAAAGATTGGAACCAAGAGATGGAACTATTGGAAAGATAATGATTTTAGTTTGTTGAAGAGGATGGAATGGTTGATGGAATCAAAGGCTTTGGAGAAATCGAGAAGTATAAGGAAATTGTCCTTCGGGAAATGTGAGAAATATGGTAGTTCCAGGAGAGGGTTTGATCTATGAAAAATCCTAATTTTTTAACAGAGGAGTAGAAGGAAATTGGCTGGTCATTAAGGTGTAATATGGGAAAGTTGGTATGGGATCTAATAAGGGGCTTAGAACCAATGACAATGGCCTGGGTTTTGGGAGCATTTAACTTTAATCCATTTACATTTGCCCAGGCACTGATTCTATCAAGGTCTTCTTAAATCTTGGCAAATTCTACCAATAACTCAAGGGGTGAAAAGGATAGGTAGATCTGGGAATCGTCTTCATAATGATAGTGGGAACAATGGAGAATTGAATTATGTAGGTCGTTAATGTAGTAGCTGAAAAGGAGAGGAGATATGCTTGAATCCTGGGCAACTCCTGAGTATAAAGGAAGGTAAGCAGATAGTGAGCGGAGCAGAGAATGGGCGGAAATCTTCGGGTGAAGTCGGATTAGAATTTTTATTCAAAGGAAGGACAATGGCTTTTTTCCAAGATATAGGGAATATTGAATTCTGAAGGGAGAAATTGTAGATGAAAAGGTGAACTGGTAGTATTTCAGAGAGACAAAATTTTATTAATTTGACAGGGATGCCATCTGGTCCTCTGGAATCGGTGTGGGATTTTATTACAGCGGTTAACAGGTCTGTGGGGGAAATGACGGCAAAATAAAAGTTATTGTCGGAACAGGAGGATAAAGGAGAGGCATTAGCAACAGATATAAAATGCGAGTTTAGATCATCAGGGGATATTAGAAAGGCTGGGGTATGGGATCTGAAAGGATCACAAAGGGGGAGTTTACTAAGCATTCGCCATTTTGATTTGATGTCAGGAGTTGAGGAAAGGGCCTCGTGGAAGCAGGGGGATTTCGCACGCCGGATCCTTGTTTGTGTCAAGTTGCGAAGCACCTTAAACGCTTGATAGTCATCTGCAAGCCTCTAAACGTCTAAAGCGCCTACGTGCAGTGTCGCGCCTCTTCTGCAGGTCTTTAATTTCCTGACACATCCAAGGAGCAGGCCGAAATGTAGAGGTTTTGAGAGGGGCATGGGTATTGAGAAGATTGGTAGTAAGAATATCAACCATAGAGTCGATAGAAGAGCAAGAATATATTCTATTCCAATCTAGGATTTCCAAGTCAGGTAGTATGTTTTATCGTGTAAGGGAATCTAGATGGCGGAAGGTGATACTTCGAGACTGAATAGGAGGAGTTCGGGCATTATATGTTATTTGTATCAGATCATGAGATAACAAAAAGGATACTGGCAGTTGGGAAGAGGAGAGGAGGTTTTGTGCAGTCTATAATATAGAAATCTAGCCAAGTGTTAGACCTGCTAGTATGGTAAGTGGGAGAAAAAGGAACGATAAAGAGGTGAAGGGAGAAGAATAGGTCTTCTAGATAGGATTTGTCATTGGAGTTAGATAGGAAATTGGTATTGAGGTCACCGGAGATAATTATTCTGGGATAGACAGGAACGAAATTCAATAGGGTAGATTCAAAGGACGTGTGAAATGGAACAAGAGGAGGACGATATACCACAGCTTAGAGGAGAGGAGAAGTAACTAATAGATACATTCAACTAATAGGTATTCAATTTGTGGGTGGTTGGAAGATGAGGATTCGGGTCTACTCTCCACTCTCTACTCCACCACCAGCCCGGCTTACCCGGTCATGACGGAAGAGAGTGTAATTAGGCAAGGAGACAGAAGACGAGGAGATATAAGGTTTGAGCCATGTTTCGGAGATAGCTATAATAGGGTACAAATTTTGAGTGAAATATTGCAGGAATTCGGCATAGTGGGCAGGGAGGGATTGAGAGTTAACTTGGCAGGTGATTAGGGTACTAGGCATGAGAAGGATTTGGAAGGAAACAGTCAGAGTTCGGTAGAGAAACACTAAAACAAATAAAAAATATCCAGGTCTTCTGGACTAAGCCTAACTCCCAGGCTGGCTCCTATACTGGTCACTAAAGCGGCGGGCGTTTCACTAGCTCGTTCCGGTATCCCTCGGATCTCCAGTGATCTGGATAACAGGCCCTGTTCTACATTATTCAGGCGAACTTCTAGTTTGCCCACTCGGGATTTGAGGGCTTTATTTTCCAGAATAATTTCTTCGAATTTACTGACTTAATTTTCAAGGTGTTTTTCAATTTTTGATAACATTTCATTAACCTCGAAACTGAGCTCCCTATATTTATCAAGGGCAGTTTTAATGTTTTTATATCTTCGTTCACGCTTGAGTCTAGACGATTTACTGCCGCCAATATTTCTGAGGCAGACGGCTCAGTGTTGGGTTTTTTGACCTGGTCGCAATTAGGGCATACCCATGCTTTTTTGTGTGCTTTTAGGGCTTCGATGTCTTTATCAGTTAAGTTGAAACACCTACAATGAAAAATAATTTTACATTTTGCACAATTAATATTGTTTTTGTCCTCGCGTGCAATAGTAATATTGCAAATATTACACTGCACCATATTTTATGAGAAGTAAATAAATTGAAATATAAATAAATACACATATACAGTTATTGATGTGATGAAAGCAGTAAACAGCGTGTCTAATGCCTTAAGGATTAGTAGGCGATTGCAGTCACGTAGCTCTTGGAAATCAGTTAAGCTTAGGCACTTTTTTACGTAAATAAAATTAAATGTAAGTCACTTGAATCAGGGAACACTAATAATATTTCATACAGATAGTTAGTTTCTTTATTTTTTTCTAAAGTAATTATCGCCATTTAAAAAAAAAAGCTTTCCGGCTGAAGCCTCCCCAAAAAAAAATTAAATACTGGATCCGCACTGTTTTAGTTATGTTTTCACTAACACAAAATAAGCAAAAAAGTTCATATTAACATATATCTGAAACTCATTTATTAAACAGTTATCAAAGGTTAAAGATATATTATTTATTTACTACATTAAGACTGACTGTACGAAGTTTAACGTGTTTAATACTAAATAACAGGTTTTAATCACCTGATAAACAAATGAACGATAAGAAATGACAGTAATTGCTCATCTGTTAGTCTAGTTCTGTGTTTTAATGTGAGTGAATACTGTGACACAGTTCAATTAATGATTATCATGGGATACACCATAAATTTATTCACTTTTGCAGAACAAACGGACATGCTTTTATTCTGTTCATTTTTCCAACAATTGGTGTCTTGAGGTTTTATTTTTTACATAAAATAGGCCAATTATCACCAACATTTACATGCTTTTAACTTATGGCGAAGTTCATAGTAATGGTGCTATTCCTGTTTGAAGATATTTGAAAAATTTCCTAACCTAAGAATACCAAATTGTAAAACATTTGAGGCCATTGAAAGACGCTTTAGGTATAATGGCACGCTAAAACCTATAAGAGTAAACGCTGGTCGACAAAGATTTCAACTAACTGCAAATGTTGAAGAAGAAATACTATAGATGTTTCCTCTACCAGCATATGGCGAACTTTACTCGAATAACAATTGTATCCATTTCATGTATCATATCAAGTAGGCAATATTTGTTACCATAAGATTATAACAAGCGCAGAAATTTCACCCAGTGGTTAATTCAAAAATGCACACAAGATCCTTCCTGAACTGCATTTTGGTTACAGATGAATCTTGCTTTTCAAGAAACGGGATTCTTAATTTTCGAAATACCCATACTAGGGCTGAAGAAAACCCTCATATGACTGCTGTTGAACATTACCGCCAACATACCTTTTCTTTAAATGTCTGGTGAGGTCTTCTAAGCGACAACATTTTCGGCCTTTCTTTTTGCCACCTAGGCTGTCAGATATATCTTAGTTGCATTTTTTGTAAAATAATCTTCATTAACTCCTAGAAGATATTCCGCTAGGCATTAGGCAAAGGCTTTTATGTATGACGGTGCTCCAGCTCACTTTTCTAATAGTGTCACTGATTATTTAAATGCAACTTATGGAGACCGATGGGTTGGTCGAAACGGACCTGTTAAATGGCCACCACGATCTCTGGATTTAATGCTATTAGATTAGTTTGTGTGGGGCTGGATAAAGTCTATGGTTTATTCTGTGGCAGTTGGCACGAAGAACAGCTAAGAAATCGGATCGTGCAAGCCACAGTAACTATGAAGCACCACCCTGATACTACACGAAGAGCCAGAGAAACATGGATTCGTCATGCTAAATGTTGCATTCAACAAAACAGAGACCCCTTTGAACAGTTACTCTAAATGTTGTAATAGTAATAATAAATCTTTAACCTTTGATATCTGTTTAATAAATGAGTTTGAGATATATGTTAATATGAACTTTTTTGTTTATATTGTGTTAATGAACATATACCTAAAATAGTGCGGTGCAATTAGGAAACATCCTGTATAAGCCCTACTAGCTAATTTGTCCATTCTGAAGACATCTTCAACAACAATTAACAAACATAATTTACAACAATGATCAGTCATTATCTAGTCATATAAAAAGTGAGAACTTATCACAAATTTAAAGCAAAAATGTTTATCTATGAAAACATATTTCTATATTATAATCTTATTAACTGTTCATTTTTAAATAGACATTCCCTTTTTAATAAAATAATGTTGTGTTTTAATATCATTAATCATGTTTATTTAATAAATATTACAAAACCAAAAATTAGAAAAGAATTATGTTGATAAATAACTTCAAGAAAGAAGAATTATTAATATAATACTGTTTATGGATTATTTGCTCTAATGAACAGTCATGTCCAATAGACAAATTTATGAATTGACATAATGTCAATCTATCAACATATCATGTTTCAAATACTATAACTTTACACCAAACAATAGCTTCAACTTTTGAATGAACTCACTATGTTTCTAATCAGAACGTAGTTCCAAAAAAATATTCACACAATTTAGGAAAACAAAACTTCCAAATGGAAAAGTTTAAAAAAATAAGTATGTTGAAAATATTTTTTTATTATCAGTTTCTTATTTAAATGACCATAGTCAATGGACGGCTTTACAATCCAAATTAATGTCATTACAATAAAAATATTACTATATACAAAACTAGTTTAAGTACAAAATTTTATATGTAAATATAAATAACAATCTCAAACACTTTCTTGCAATATAAACTAATCACAGACTTGAAATTACATAAATATTTAATAACAATCACAATAAATTAAGTAAATATACTACATACAGCAAAATTGTGCCACAAAACTATAAACATGCACAAGAAGTGCCTTAGTAATTATAGGCCACTGAAATTAAATATTTAAAAAATGCAGTTCAGTTTTTATAATTTAATATTAATTGATAAATAAATATATACATGTGAACTTCATAATAATACAATAAGATATATACATGCAAAGCATTAATTAAATAACCATAATTAGTTATTTAGAAATACTAAAAACAAATACTTAAAAGATATCTGAATTTGAGTTTATCTATACTTCATTGTTTTGATAGTCCAAACAATAATAATAAATGACCCTTAAAATAAATAATTTATTTTACATACTGTAAACCAGGGTTACTTGAAGACTAGGGAGTGATTATGTACTAGAATTAAATTTGAATATGAAATTACTTGGCGGGCTAAAACATATTCTTATTCTGACAACTTCCCTTTAGTTTTGATTTAAAAGTGTTCCACTTCACCAGGTGATTTCGAATTCAAAAATAACTCTACTACATAGTCATCCTCTAGTCCCAAAGTAACCCCGGTTTATAGTAGTTTTAACGATAATGAAAAAATTCCTAACAAGGTCTGTTAGAACAGACCTTGTATGTATACACATGTATAAATATACTTAGGTATATTAATACATTTAACAGAGTACATTGAATCAGTAGTTAATATAAGTGTGCTCACTGGTTGATAAAGCATCAATGCTTACCTAAAAATACTGAAGAAGATCCCATACTTTTAGTATATAAAAGATCAAAACATCACATGTATAAAAAATTTAAATAAAATTTCAAAATCATTGATCTAGGACATCCGATAACATAAATAGCTAAATATAAAAATAAAAGTCGACTAAATAATTCAAGATTTGTGTTTACTTTTTTCAAATAATTACTATTATTATTTTTAATATACTATAGTATTTTTATTATACTTAAAAATGGAATAAAACAAAGAATCCTCTACGGTGCTGGTATTTTTAATTAAATAAAAAAAATATATATATATTATTCGCTTATGGTTTATTTGTAAACAGTTAATAAACATCATAATACCAATCATATTATTTCTTATTTTAATATAGAGTATTCCACAATTTACTTTACTTAAATTTCCAACTTCATGAGCTAATCATTAATAAATTTACTTGACTTTCGACTACTATTCTATTATTCGAGAATTTATTTTCCAGTACTTTGAACTTATTTTTATTTATTTAACTCAAATTTTATTATTATTTAACGCTTATTATTATTATTTTCTAATATTTTTAAAAAGGTAAACTATGATTCTTTATGGATTTATTGTAAACTATATAAACATTACCCATCACTTATTTCATGACATGTATTGTTTATATGACGTCATTGACTTCTTACTATTATATTATTGAGTCCCAATAGGTTAATAAGTTGTGGATTACGATAGTCTTATGCAATTCATTTTTCAATATATTTATTACATTGTTTCATAAAATCTATTCCTAATTTATAAAATTACAGCTTTTATCATTATTTGTACATGTAGATATTACATACCATACTTGTTTATTCTTATTGGGAATAAACTGTATTTATTGATGATTGTTTTTTTTTTAATTTTAAATAATTATAATTAATTATCTATTAACATCAAACAATTGAATTAAAAGCATAGATTAATTAAATTAGGCATTTGACAGGATTCAGTCGAAGGAGATTAAGTCAGCTATTAATATTAAGGTAGTTTATTATTATGGAGATTATTTAGTCAACAATTATTCATGATATCAGAGTAAAACCTTCAAGTTCACCAGAGCTTTTTATCATACAATTAAAAAAAACTATAAAAATTCAATGACTAACAGCACCAAAATTAGAAACCAACAAAGTATGAAAGTCAACAAATGTCATGAATACATAAACTAATTATGTCGACTTTTAATTCTATCAAAGAAATTTCCTTTTATCTTAACCTTATTTTATCAAACACAAACCTCCGTGAACACATAGAAACACACACACATCATTTATACATTAAAAACTAAAGAAAACAATGATTAAAAAAAATCATTCATAATAACAGCATTCAAATTATTTAAGTATTAATGAGTGAGGAACTATTAACATATTTTAGTCCAAAATATTATATAAGGCAACATATGACTTAAATCTATTAATCTAAACTCATTAAATAGTTTCAGACGGTGTAAACAAACTATTTTTAACTACTATTTGGAGCGTCTAGATGTAGGACTGTCTGGTGGAGTCAATAGAGGTGTCTTTTTTGAACCTGATTTCATACCAATCTTTTTTAATGGCCTGGGAGAAACTCCGGAACATGAAGATATTTCACTTTCTACACCAGTATATGAAGTTCCACTGTCATCTAAACATTAAAAATAAATATGATTCAAGAATAAACAATAAAACAAACATAATTAATATAAAATATCAGTGATAACATAATGGCTACTTAAAATATAATAACTTTGTTTTGACAGTATAAGTAAATATATTCTAACTGTAAGAATTAAGCTGCGACACAACCGACTCGAAGTAGTATCATTAGTAAGGTTGTAGATAAACCACAGGTGCACAAAAAAATGCCTGAATTTTATGAAAATTGATGAGGACAGCATGAACATGAAAAGTAGCAGAAGAACCATGCTATATACTGCTCTGATATAGAAAAATATAGGAAAGAAAGAGAAGAAGATTTAATATCATGAGATGAGGTAACACTTTTTAAAAAATTGGTTACACAAAAGAACAAGATAAGATTTTTGTTTGGAAAAACACTCATCACCGGTTCTGATCACCATCAGTAGATTACCTTAGTTAGAAATTACTTTTGTGTTTTCAAAAAGCTTTTTTTTCCATTTGCATTTGCATTTGCCTTCCCTAATTGATTAATTTTTTGTGCCAAACAATAACAAACATTAAATGAGTTATAATGGATCATAAATTATAAAAACCAAAAGACATTTCTAGTAAAGTAGGATAAGTAAATTTTTGCCATGGAAAGAAGGAAATTAGAATCATTTTTAGTATCCATTGAAACTCTTAAATATGAATTTTCATAGAAATCAAAAAATACATATTTGAGAAGAGGAGGATGTTTGTGGTGATCAGTCAAAATAAAAATAAATAATTATATTTATTTTTATATTTGCCGACGTTTCGGCCCGAAGTTCAGGGATGATCAATCAAAGGAGTGTGGGAAGAAAAACCTGGTCTGTTTGTTTGTCTTTCTATGCTCCTTTGATTGACCAGCCCTGATGAAGGTCTGAACTTTGGGCTGGAACAGCGGCGAATATAAAAATAAATATAATTATTTATTTTTATTTTCAAGTTAATTTATTATTAGCCATATTTAAACCAATTTAAAAAAAATTTTTTGTCACTTAATGACTACTCATCAAAATGACGACGTTTCGGCTCGTCGAGCCATTTTCAAGTCTAAAAAAATTTTTTCATTTACAATCATATATTAACTTTAACATATTTCAAATTATAAAGATACTTATTATGTACCTAAAATACCCATCATGTACCTGTCATTTTCACTTATGCGAATTGCAAGCGTCTACTCATAATAAAATTCCTTATTATTGTCATGTTCACCTTTAATTATTTAACACATTATTATTACTCAATTCTTTACTATTAAATGATTCAAAATAAGTTAAATTTACCTTGTTTCTGAGTCACCCACATGTCATCCATCTCATTTCTATTCAGTGACTGGTTATTCTTATAGGAGTAGGGGAAGACTATTTATTATGAACATATATAATGCTGTTACTCAATATTACATGTGGATCTATTTTAAGTAATATTAGCTGATTTATTTCAAATTTTGATTTTTTCAATAGAACTAGCATAAAAAGTATTCATATTATCCACGTCTGTATGATTATTTACTGAGTTTTTTAAGTTTTTAGTTATGTATATTGATTCATTTAATTCTACGTTTATTCGTATTTCTTTCATTATGTAGGATTTTGGCATTTTTGAAATCAAACTCATGTTTAGTTTGCATATTATGTTGCGAGAGTCCAGTATCTAATTTAATTTTTGTGTTTTTTGAATTACAATTTTGTTTATGCTGTTTAAGCCTTTTTTCAAACCATTGGGATGTCTGTCCAAAATATGCTTTGTTGTTGCAATTCTTACAATTTATTTTATAAATAATATTCGTTAATTTATCGATAGATACTTTATCTTTAGTTTTCGAATAAATTGTATCTAATTTATTAATTGGTTTGCTTGCAAATTTAATTTCATTTACATCGTATTGTTTAAATGTTCTTTCAATTTTATCAGTTAAGTTTCTAATATATGAGACGCTAAAATATTTTTTAGGTTGTTGTTTGTTCCCATTACATTTTTCAATTTGTGTCTTAATGTCATGTATATCGTTCATGGAAGGTTTTTGTTTTACTGCATTTTCAGTTTTAAAATAATTTGTTATTAAATTCGGTTCTTTATTAATTTTAATATTTTGCTTCACTTTCTCACTCCTATCATCGCTAATATCAATAATCTGTTTGTTACTATTGTCATTTATAATTAACTTTTTATTTTTATACCATAATTTATTTATTAATCGAATGGAGTACCAATTTTCTAATAGAATTTGATATATTTGTGCTTTGATTTCTTTTATATGATTTTGATCTGTTATTAATTTTGCCTTATTTATTAAATTTTTAGCTGTGTTAATTATTATATGTTTCTTGTGGTTACTGTGCCAGTTTAGGATTCTATCACTAGTTATTGTTTTTTTGCACCATGCCGTGCTAAGATCGCCGCTTTCGTTTCTGTGAATATACATATCAAGATATCTTATTTTGTTGTTATTCTCAATTTCCATTGTGAATTTTAGTTTATCTGATAAATAATTTAGTTTATCAAGAAAATTAACAGATTCATTTTTATTTATTATTGCAAGTATATCGTCAACGTATTTTATAATAAGCTTCGGTTTTTTTCCCCATTTACTTATAGCATTATCTATTAGATTGTTCAGATATATGCCCGAAAGATTGATCGACATACATCCGCCCATCGGTAGACCATTTTTCATTTTGTAATAATTATTATTATAGGAGAAATAGCCATTTTCGCAAATTAATTTGATTCCTTCCATAAAAACGTTTTTATCTTTTATTTCTGTGTATGGTTCTATTTCATCCCACCGTTTTTCCAGTATTCTATATATTTCATTAAGTGGAACATTCGTAAAAAGGGATTCCGCGTCATAGCTTACTAGATTTTCGTTTTCCTCTATCCTATTTATACTATTAATTTTTTCTTTTACTTGCATTGTATTCTTCACGTGGTATATATTATTATTGTTTAAATTGTTTAAGGCTGAGTTTAGGAATTTAGCCAATTTTTCAGTAATGCCATTTATATCATTTACAATTGGTCTAAGAGGTCTGTCATTTTTATGTAATTTGCTCAGACCATGTATTCCTGGTATTGTATAATGTCTAGTTATGAGTTTTTCTTTATCCTTTTCATTTATAAATTTTATTTTCAATAATTTATTTATATATGTCAAGGTTTTATTCTGGATTTCATTTGAAGGATCTTTCCTAAGGCATCTAAATATTAGGCGTTCATCCAATAGGTTGTGCATTTTTTTATCATACTCAGTCTTAGTAATAATCACGGTTTTCTTAGTTTTATCTGATTTTATAATTAATAATTCTGGCTGGTTTTTAAAAAAATTTTTCCATACTTCATCCTTCGGCATGTTTTCTGGGTCGTTGTTAGGCCTCCCAGTTAATAATATTCACAATATTACTCAATTCTTCTTCGGTGCATACTATTTATTTTCAAGTTAATTTATTATTAGCCATATGTACACCGATTTAAAAAAAAATTTTGTCACTTAATGACTACTCATCAAAATGACGACGTTTCAGCTCGTCGAGCCATTTTCAAGTCTAAAAAAATTTTTTCATTTACAATCATATATTAACTTTAACATATTTCAAATTATAAAGATACTTATTATGTACCTAAAATACCCATCATGTACCTGTCATTTTCACTTATGCGAATTGCAAGCGTCTACTCATAATAAAATTCCTTATTATTGTCATGTTCACCTTTAATTATTTAACAACATTATTATTACTAAATTCTTTACTATTAAATGATTCACAATAAGTTAAATTTACCTTGTTTCTGAGTCACCCACATGTCATCCATCTTTTTATGGAAGGAATCAAATTAATTTGCGAAAATGGCTATTTCTCCTATAATAATAATTATTACAAAATGAAAAATGGTCTACTGATGGGCGGATGTATGTCGATCAATCTTTCGGGCATATATCTGAACAATCTAATAGATAATGCTATAAGTAAATGGGGAAAAAAACCGAAGCTTATTATAAAATACGTTGACGATATACTTGCAATAATAAATAAAAATGAATCTGTTAATTTTCTTGATAAACTAAATTATTTATCAGATAAACTAAAATTCACAATGGAAATTGAGAATAACAACAAAATAAGATATCTTGATATGTATATTCACAGAAACGAAAGCGGCGATCTTAGCACGGCATGGTGCAAAAAAACAATAACTAGTGATAGAATCCTAAACTGGCACAGTAACCACAAGAAACATATAATAATTAACACAGCTAAAAATTTAATAAATAAGGCAAAATTAATAACAGATCAAAATCATATAAAAGAAATCAAAGCACAAATATATCAAATTCTATTAGAAAATTGGTACTCCATTCGATTAATAAATAAATTATGGTATAAAAATAAAAAGTTAATTATAAATGACAATAGTAACAAACAGATTATTGATATTAGCGATGATAGGAGTGAGAAAGTGAAGCAAAATATTAAAATTAATAAAGAACCGAATTTAATAACAAATTATTTTAAAACTGAAAATGCAGTAAAACAAAAACCTTCCATGAACGATATACATGACATTAAGACACAAATTGAAAAATGTAATGGGAACAAACAACAACCTAAAAAATATTTTAGCGTCTCATATATTAGAAACTTAACTGATAAAATTGAAAGAACATTTAAACAATACGATGTAAATGAAATTAAATTTGCAAGCAAACCAATTAATAAATTAGATACAATTTATTCGAAAACTAAAGATAAAGTATCTATCGATAAATTAACGAATATTATTTATAAAATAAATTGTAAGAATTGCAACAACAAAGCATATTTTGGACAGACATCCCAATGGTTTGAAAAAAGGCTTAAACAGCATAAACAAAATTGTAATTCAAAAAACACAAAAATTAAATTAGATACTGGACTCTCGCAACATAATATGCAAACTAAACATGAGTTTGATTTCAAAAATGCCAAAATCCTA